AGGGCGCGGCGTCCGGCGGGGAGGCTCCACGCGCAGGGCCCCCCCATCTCCCCCACCCCATGTCCGCCCGCCCGCCTGCCCCGGCGCACCTGCGCGGTGAGGGGCCCTGCCCAACGCGCCCGCCGGTGTCTTTTCCTTTTCACATACTGGTTCGCTAACTTGTTCACGTGTGGATTCTGGCCATGGACGGGCTTCCTGAGGAGGTGGGAACCCAGAGCGACGCGTGGACGAAGCGGGCGGCGCTGGAGCCGGGTCGCACTGAGACCGAGGGAGGCTGCCTCGGGTGCGCCGTCTGCGATGATGTGTCTGTGCCACAAAACAGACTGTGCGCTCCCGACCTTTAACGAGGTGCTGGTGCTTCCTGGCAGCGCAGTTTGGCATCTAAAGTCAAGTTGGCGCGTGTTCTCATGAAGAAGTGCGCTGCTGGCTCTGCTTGCTAACCGGGACACTCATTCCCCGTTCCCGGTGTCATGCAGAGATCTGTGTTTCAGCTGCCAGTGGTTTTCGGGTTTCCTGGTCTGAATTAGTTGTTCAGAGCATCTTGCATTAAAATTTTGTAACAATGAAAGATAGAAAAAGGACTGTAGCTACGAACCCTCGGTGTCTGAAATGGAGGAAAGGTTGGGGAACAGCTGTTTGCCCAGGTCCTAGTTGAGGCTTTTTATGCCGTTTTGGGAGGGAGGGGGGCAGCTGGTGATTAACTTTTACATCCCAGCAACACCATCTTTATATCACCTTTTGCCTTTACTCTCCCAACACATGTTGTCTTTTAAAACCTGCCTGAGAGGAAATGGAGATGGAAAGGCAACCAGAGGATGAAATGATCTGAGGGGCTGGTGGCCATTGAGACACCAAGCCCGTACCTTTTGAGGACTTACAAGGACTTTAATATAATCTGTGGCCCCACATTTGAAATTTTTTTGTCATGTAAACTATGACGCTGTATCCCAGGCACGATTTAGCAATGGTGTACGTTCCTGAAGCGATGCACTATGCCACTAGGGTCGGGGGATGCTGGTTTGAGCTATAGAAGAGAATCTCTATAGTTGTAAGAAATTAGAATGTTAAAACATACCAGAAAACAATAGGAAAGTTCAATACTTGTGCTAAGACATTACATGCTACTGAATTATTAACATGAGGGTATTTTATAATTCTTTTTATTAAATAGGAACAGGTGACTCAAACGATTTAAATGCATTAGAGCAGGAGCACAATAGATCCCTAGATGCTGAAGTGTAAATGCTTTCTTAGCAAAACATGCACGAATATATCCTAGATGCAACACAGCAAAATCTGATGTATAGTAATCCTATTCAAGAACAGATTACGAGTAGACTGAATATGAACCTCCAAACCACCTTTGAAATCATCTTCTCCAAACCACTCATTTCACCAGGAAAATGAAGCTTGAAGCAGTTGAATTTTCTAACGTTACTAAGTCGCTTAGCACAATGGATTACTTCAGCCCGATGCACTTCCATTCCACAGTGTGGCAGTAAGAGGGTACAGCGATGTAAGCAGTTTCTCAGTCCATCCTGGTTCTTCGGTACCTGACAAAAGGACAAAGCACCGTCATATGCCAGGGTGCAGCCTCTGATGTTTGCTGAGAGCGGAGCGATGCCTGAAGGCTTTCCCACAATCATCACATCCAAAAGGCTTCTCTCCCGAGTGAACTCTCTGATGCTGGATGAGGTAAGTGCTCTGGCTGAACGTCTTCCTGCATTCAGGACAGTCGTATGGCTTCTCCCCCGTGTGCGTGTTCTGGTGCTCAGTCAGGTGGGTGCTCCGGCTGAAGGCTTTGTCACATTCATTACACTTATAGGGCTTCTCTCCAGTGTGGATTCTTTCATGCTGCGTCAGATGGGAGCTCTGGCTAAAAGCCTTTTCACACTTATTACACTGGTAGGGCTTTTCTTCTGTGTGAGTTTTTTGATGCTGAGCAAGAGACGAACAATGTCGAAAGGCTTTGCCACACTCACCGCACTCGTAAGGCTTTGCTCCTGTGTGAATTCTCTTATGTTGTGTAAGGTGTATGTTCTGGTTGAAGGCTCTCCCACATTCATTACATTTGTATGGTCTTTCTCCAGTATGTATTTTCCTATGCTGAATAAGGGATGAGCCATAACTAAAGGTTTTCCCACATTCGTCACACTGATAGGGTTTCTCACCAGTATGAATTCTTTCGTGTTTAGCAAGAGATGAACTCCGAATAAAGGCTTTCCCACATTCCTTACATTCGTAAGCTTTCTCTTGGGTATGAGTCTTCTGATGCTGATTAAGGTTTGAGAGGTAACTGAAAGCCTTCCCACATTCGCTGCACTCAAAGGGCTTTTCTCTGGTGTGGATTCTGCGGTGCTGGGTGAGGGATGAGCAGTAACTGAAGGCCTTCCCACATTCACTGCATTTGTAAGGTTTTTCTCCAGTATGAATTTTCAGATGTTGAGCCAGGGATGACCAGTAACTAAAGGCCTTTCCACACTCAGCACAATCGTAAGGTTTCTCCCCAGTGTGTGTTTTCTGATGTTGAGTGAGGTTGGAGTGCTGACTGAAGGCTTTCCCACATTCATTGCATTCATACGGCTTTTCGCCAGTGTGAATCATATGATGACGGATAAATGTGGAGGGCCCATTGAAGGCCTTCCCACATTCATTACATTTATAGGTTTTCTCTCCAGTATGAATTTTTTGATGTTGAGTAAGGTGAGTGCTCCTTGTGAAGGTTTTATCACATTCAGCACATTTGAATGGTTTTTCTCCGGTATGAATTTTCTGATGTTCCACAAAGTGGCCTCTCTGGCTAAAGGCCTTCCCACACTCATTACAAGTATATGGTTTCTCACCAGTATGAATTCGATGGTGCTGAACAAGATGGGTCCTCTGGCTAAAGGCTTTCCCACACTCGTCACATTTATAGGGTTTTTCTCCCGTATGAATTCTTTGATGTTGAGTAAGAGATGGACCCTCAATGAAGCCTTTTCCACATTGATCACATTTATACGGTTTATCTCCAGTATGGATTCTTTGATGGTTTATAAGGTTTTCGCTCCTGCTAAAGGCTTTCTCGCATTCGTTGCACTTGTAAGGTTTTTCTCCAGTGTGTGTTCTCTGATGGCGAATAAGCGCTGAGCAATAACTAAAAGCTTTCCCACACTCATTGCATTTACAAGATTTCTCTTTTTTAACTGGTTTTAAATTCTGTTTCATGCTTGTTTTAGTAGCAGTCTCTTTTGGAGATACATCCTGTTGTGGTACTAGGTTTGAACTAATGTTGATGCTTTTTTCAAAGTCATGATTTACATGGTCTCTCTCCAAACGTGGTACTGTTTTCTCAGTTATTTTT